AAACTTTTGAGGTTAACTTGCAGATATTTATTAAATTATTAATTTTACTTACAGCTTAAATAATTTCATTGACCGTTAAAAAAAAAGAGAAGAAACAAGTGAAAATCATAACCGAAAAGGGAAAAGTAAGTGGACTCCGACATCACCAGCTATTCCTTTCTCACACAACTTCAAAACGCCCTCGTCATTACGACTTTCAAAAGCGCAGTCAGTCGCAGATGAAAAGGAAACGGCATGAAAATATTTAAGTAAAAGGCCGGCAGCCATGTGGGGTTATCCTCAAGAGGGTGCAGGTAGAATTCAGGAAGTTAGCAAAGAGATGCATGTTGGCTGGACCGCATTTGGAGCGAAATTAATGTAAACGCAGTAAAAAAGCTTAAGATATTTTTAAGTGAATTACATAAATATATGCATGCGTGTGCTGAATATTTTTTGTGACACGCTAACTTTTGAGAAAAGCGGAACTGACGTTATATATATATATACACTTATTTGCGGGCGGTTCTAGTTTCAAAGCATTGTCGCTTTCATTTTCATTTCATTGTCTGTTTGTCATATCAAAAAAAAAAAAACAACAACTTCGCAAGATAATCGTTGCAGTTTTTGCAAAGCAATTAACGGCATTAAAGTGCAATGCGAGCTATTTGTCTTTGTGCAAAAAAAAAAAAAAAAAATATTGTAAAGTTTTAAAATTTATCTCACTTTCATATTTATTTTCCTTTGCCACTGTTGAAAAGTTTTGCCTTGTGGCCGTATGCCAAAAGTTAGCTTGCAAACTATAATTTACTCTCCATCTAGCTTCTCATCATAAGCATTTTTCGTCCCTTAAGTGGTTTGCTAAATTTATTAAGTGTTATATTCTTAAGTTTCCCACAATTAATGTTTGTTTGGAAAATTTTCTTATAATAATAAATATTTGCTGCTATGAATGCGCTTTTGCATGCTTTTTGCATAAGTTGAAAATAATCGCTCCAACCGCAGCCAAAGTGTTTTAGCTAACCGCATAACTGCATAATTCATAGCTAAAAAATGCAACTTGTTTTCTCACACTCCACTTGCGCACACTTCTATTCTCTGCGTTGCACGCTCTCCATGGACATTGGTGTATGACTTTGTTTTGGAGGACCTTTTCATGTCCAGCAGACATGAAACATTTCATTTCGAACGTCTCTTTTTTCTGTTGTTATTTGCTTTTCTACGTTTTTCGTTTGTATTTGCCTTTGTGCCACTGTGCTGCGTTGCTGTTCTACTTTCCTCGTTGACTCCTGTCGTGTCGTTTATTTTGCATTTAGGAAGTTGACTGTTGCAGTACTCGGTGCTCTCATTTCACTCACTCACTCACTTTTAAAGTTTACTAACAAATATTTTTTACTTTTGTTGGTTTTTCTTTGTAGTGTAAATAAACCAAATGGAGTTTGTTTTTCATTAGCAAGCAGATTATTCATGTGACGAGTTGGATTTTTTTTTTGTGTTGCTGCCAAAGTGAATATTTTATTTTTGAAAGGGTAAGTAAATTGGAATAAGTAAGTTATTGTAGGGTTTTTAGTTTAAGAATATATGCATATAAATCAGAAGTGGAATAAAGTTTATTTAGATATTACTACAGTAAAATAGAGTAAGTTGCTTTGGCAAATTTGAAAATTGAAAATTGGCCTAAATGTTAGCTGTCAAATGTGAAGTGATTAAGATTAGTCTCCGATTTAGTTAGTGTATATTACTAAATATAATAAGTAAATAATTTATATAATTTTAGTATAAATCAGGTATGGAATGAAATTAGTTTTTAAAGTTAATTGCCTAACAAATTTTTAAACATTGCTTTTGCTAAAATCAAAAGTGGAATAAAGCTAGGAGCAATTTAAGAAATGATCAAGAATTTCATAACTAAGAGCATAAACGTTGAAACTGTGAGTATAGTATTTTCTAGGACAAATGTCATTAAAGTTACTTTGTAGAAAATGAAAGCGACATTAGATGCCATTTCTGGCGGCTAGGGCAATAATAAAAAATACATCTTTAAGTAAAGGGCAGTAATGAATTGCTAGCAGCTTGTAAAATAATTTCAATGCTTCCCTTTTAAATCTGAAGTGGAATAAAGTAATCAATTATAGGGAATATTATACATATTGAGGGTATACGAGTAACTGTATGATTATTAAGCCATCAGGTAAATTGATCTGAACATCACATTATGACTTTGAATTACGAATATATCTGCATAAACATTAAATACTGTGACTTTTAATTTTAATTGCTTTCTTTATGAATTTCTTATTAACAGTATCATCACCTTAATTGGGTAGGTTATAAGACAACGCATTTAAGCGGCGTTTAGCAAGAGATTATTCTATATCTGTTTGCAACCATTTTCTTAAAAGTTTACTCAAACAAATGTACATATCAGGTGCTTGTTTTACTGTTACATTTGTTTGTTGGTACTTGCTATATAGCTGCTTGATAAACATTACGTCACGCATGTTCGACAAAGTACAAGAATTAAAGTTAATATTCGTGTAGTTCAAAAATTTACAGAGTACAAGAATACTCCTGAGACGATAACATGAATCCTAATAAAGTGAAGGAAAATTTATATTAGAAATATGTTGCTTTTGCACCATATTTCGTTGCAACGTATTTATTATAAATATTTATGCATTAATGATTTCGCCTCTTACAAAATATCAACATTCAAAGCAGCCCCAGCGGCAACATAAAATATGTCTTAAATATGTAAGTCTTAACAGTAGCAGAAGCTAAAACTTTTTCTGGCCACAAGCCATCACCGCTAACTTTACACAGTTTGTTTGCTTAAATAATTTTAGCGCCCTTTTGCTTACATTATTTTCAGTACACTGTGAACGCTATGTTCTATGTGTAATACACTCTCTCTCTTATGCTGACTTTCCACGTTGTCTGTCTGCTGCACGTAATTTGTTTACATCTTGTGGATTTTCTATATAAAATTATTCAATTATGTTAGCAACTAAGTATTTCTTTTTATTGCTTTATAAGCGAGCATTGCGAAGTGAGTGCGCGCGCGGAGTATATGATGGTAATCACTTTGACGTAGGTTTTTTCTTTTATTTATGACTGCAAATATGTTTTTTCTTTATTTTTCTTCACGCCTCCTTAGCATCCATGCAGTAGGTAAATACAAACAAATAATTTTGTAAGCCAGAAGTTGCACAGCATGAAGAGACAGGAAATGAGGAAATCTTTGTTTTATAGCTGCTATTAATTGCGTCCTCTTGAAGAGCCAGTACACTCCTGTCTACACGGCAGTCATACTAAATAGCTACATATGTACTAGTATATCGTGGAAGCATGTATTTCTTTTTTGATTTTTGAGTTTCTTGTGTTGTTTGAAGGCCGTGTGAAAAGCTTCATCTCCCCGATCCACACACTTCTCTCGAGACGAAGCTGTAAGCTGCTTATTATCCTTAGTGTTTAATACTAAAGATTTTTTAATTACACTCACACTTAGTCCTCGGTACATAATCGTATGTGTGACTATTTAAGTGCATTTTTATAAGTACTCTTTATGTTATATGCTACCTGCATTCCACCTGTCAGCGCGTTGAGGTGTTATTAATGTCTGCATATTCCCTAATCTACCCCAATACTTGGCGCCCTCGCAAAGTTTTCTTTATTTTTACTATTCAAAGCTTACTACTCGACGAGTTTAATGAACTTGTAAGTGTCACAAGACGACAAGTGTTTTGTATAGTCGACATTTAATAAATAAATATTATATCTTTTTAATTTATATAAATATTAAGTCATAAATATTATATTTATATGTAATTAAATATGTAAATAAAATAAAGTTGTGCAAACTAAATTGAAGTGAATTAAATAAGAATTTAATCTCGGCGAAGTGAAATTGCGATAGGAGAGATTTCAAAAAATTAAAACGTACAGTCAAAATTTGCACTCTCAAAATTGGTGAGATTCCTTACACCAAATATTGGCATATGCTCTGGATGTCTTACTGGACATAAGTAGAGTGTATCCAAAGAAGCAATAGTCTGGAAGCGGCCCAAGGAAAGTCTATCATCATCCTACAGTTAAAAGTCTTGTGAGTCTCTGGACGATAAGCAAACCCTAGAGTGAATTGAACCAAACTGATGATTCTGTAGTCACTTTTAACAAACACGGGCATGTTCCTAGTATTTTTTTTTTGGGGCAGAGACCTATGAAAATTGACTAACACAGAGTTTGATCCAGATCGAGATCCCTGCGAGGACTGCGTGTTTTCGTGGTAAAGGAGGCCACTATACTAGCTAACGCTGCAGGAAACCACACATGAAAAACATGAACTTGTACTCTCATAGACAGTAAAGAGCTCTCATTCCAGCAGAGGAAAGTGGACACATATTTTGCTTACACGGTCTCGAGATAATTACAGAAAGGTTGTGGTCAGTCATTAAGCTATAAGTAGTAGGGACAGATGTAGTAAGAGTAGGGAGGCAGGCATTATCTACTATAGAACATGCCTTAGACACCTATGAGATTGACTGATCAAAGAACTAGAGGAATTTTCAAAGGTAGAAATTATGGCCAGTCGGGTAGTTCTATTCTTTAGGGTTCTTTAACCTGAGACCCCCAGCTAAATTTTGCTGACGGAGGGAATGGTCAGTGATCCCCAGATGTGGGTATCTGAGGAGTGGGAGTGTCAAATGTTAGTTCCTTAATATCCAAAAGTGCAAGAAGTTCTCCTCGATCAAACGAGGAAATTGACGTGAACTGCTCGTTTGTGAGATTTATATCTTAAAATGCACTTGCTTTCTAAACATTTAAGTAGTTGAAATAAAACATGAAGACTCAATTTAAACGGATTAGTAAAGAAAGAGGAAAATTAGTTAAACGAGCACAGTACAAGATAAGCCAACCTTAAGCAACACACAGAAAAGACACAGAGAAATCCCTCAAATCAAAACAACATCAAAAACAAAAAACAACACCAACCAAAAAATGATAAAAAGCGAACACTTACTTACCCCTCCCACCTTCTGTGCGATAAGGTGCATTGGTATCATGTGGATCCGGTTCGGGTGCAGTATTCTGTGTATCCAACATATTCGCTTTGCGTGCAGGAATCTCTGTGGTGGGAGAAAAGGGGAATAGAGATATGAGCGAAATTAGCCTAAAAAAGTATCAAAAATTGACTGTACGCAAGAATATGAAAAATGAACTGCAAGAAGAATAAACCAAAAATCAAACAAAAAATGAACTCACTGATGCATGGCGCAATGTGTGAACGACTCTGTTGATAGCCACGCGCGCAACGATTACAGGTGAGACCAGTCACACCATCCTTACAAGGGCACTGGCCGGAGGTGTTGTTGCAAGTTTTGCCCGATGAGCCAATGGGATGACATTCACAGGCTGCAATGAAAGAGGAGAAGAATAGGAATATTTATTAAAAAATAAAACACACAAACGAAAAGAAATAAATGATATAATTTTAATGCAAACAGACGTGGATGGGAATATATATTTATATGCACATACATATATAAAAACGTATGTGTCCTTGTACATGCATTTAGTTCTTGAATTTATGCGCTACTTCACACAAAATAACGGCAATCTTAATGTGCATCTAAAAGATGCAGCTCCCGAGAAGGCTAAATAAAAATTTATTTTCTTTTTTTTTAACTTAATTTTACTTTATTTGAGATTCAATCAGTTGTAATTAGCTTTGTATCGCTTCAAAGTTGCTCCGGCTACGTTAAATGGCCGTTGGTGTATGGCAAAAACAACAATAAAGTGTATGCAAATTGCATTTTGGTGGTCAACAATCCAATGCAACGCTATGAAAACGCCAATGAAGCGCAAACAATTGAAGATGATAAGCCGAACAAATGGCAAGAGGAGCGAGAGAGAAAGAGAGAGAGTGGGAGAAAGTGGGAGAGGGTGAGGGAAAGAAAATATGAAGTGGCATAGGCGTGTTTGGCTGCTGAATTGTTCAAGTGGTTCTCTACACGTATGCAACCGATAAAATACAAATTATAATTGTGCTACGGTAAGCGGCAGATGATGGAGAGCAGGGCTATTCATTCTGCGGTTTCGAAAATATACGCAAATAAAATGCATTTAAATATTTTTTTTTTTCACGAAACTCAATTTTTAATATTAAGTTGTCAAAGTTATATGTGAAATCATCATTCAAATGACCGCCTCAAAAATTTTCGCCCAAAAAAATTCAACGGTGGCAAATCTCACGATCTCGGTACCCAAAAAACATCGCCAAGACCAGAGATCATGCGACCGGAAATATCTCTCTCGATAAAGTCATATTTTCTCGTTTCAATTGGCTTGTGGTACCAACTTGTTAGAAACCACATATTGACCAAACTGTTTTCTGCAATTGCAGGCCAAAAAATTCGCGTAACATAGGACTGACGATTCCAAAGAAGTATGGTCCAATCACACCTCCGGACCAAAGAACGCACGAGACAATAAGGTTTCTTCAATGAATTGAGGATTTTCGGAGCTCCAAATGCAACATTTTTGTTTAATTACGTACCTTCCAAGTGAGAAATGTCGTCGTTAAAGAAAAGTTTGTTCAAAAAATCGCCGCCCAATGTGTGTGGTTCGGCTGGCTTCAATTGCTATGTGTACTGGGCTCTATATCGATGTAGGTGTAAGTCCATTTGCAAAAAACGCCATCATATGTCGTACGGAAGATCCAGGTCTTGAGAGCGTCTAGAAATATGCGCATTCGGATCTTCGCCTAAGCTGCCACTTATAGTAGCGTTAGAGGTGAAATGAGCAAGATGATGATGCAAAGGTCTCATAATATCTATAGCCGATGCTATCTCTTCAAACTTCTTAATATTGAAAACAGAAACTTTTACCTTTTTTTTTATCGATGCTTCGTTGTGTGGCACGTAGCGTTGTCGTGTTGAAAGTAAACGTTGTCCAGATCAATACCATCCAATTCCGTCCATCATCGCTCAATAGCGCAATAAATTCATGCGATTGTTGTTATCGAAAAAAGATAAGGTCCAATAACCCCGCCAGACCATAAACCGCACCAAGCAGTTACACGTTGAAGCTAGATATGCCTTTCAACAACAAAACTTGTGGTTTCCAAGCTCCAGATGTGACAGTTTTGCTTATTGACGTAGCCATCGCAGTGAAAATGGTCCTCATGAGTCAATGTGCCTTTACGCTGAGATTCCGCATCATTTTCATGCATTTCAAAGACCCTAAGATATGACGTTGTTGATGATCGGCCGGCTTAAGCTCTTGTGCTAACTGCACTTTATAAGTCTTAAGAACCAAGTCTTTATGTAAAATACTGTGTAAGTCTAAGGAGCGACGAGGAATGAACAAACCTCGATTTTCTTCAACACTTTGGACTACAGCAGCAATATTCTCAGTTGTTCTGCAGCGACGTGCTTTACGACGACTGAAAAATGCTTCAATTTTACGAAAAGTCTCTGACAGGTTTTGAATCATTTTTATAGTGTTTTTTAATAATTCCGGTGCATTGTTGTATTGAGTATCGTTCCATTTTTGTTGCTGGCGTAGTTTTCACTTGTCAAATGTCAAAAAATTACAACTTCAAAAGCGACATCTACCGGAATAGCAGGCTAAACAAAATAACATCTCTTATTGGAAACCCCTTTATTACAGGGACAACACAGCGTGGAACTCGAGGTCTGAGAAGCTTCAGCAATGCGAATCAATCAAGCGCATACAAATTGTAGCAACTGCTGACTGCATGATTTTTGGCAGCATGCGAAAGTTAAAAGATCCATCCAAATCCACTGCATTCTTGTAGACGAAAAAAAAATGGGGGAAAATATTTTTTTTATGCCGTTTTTAACTCATTTACGGTTTCCAACGGCATTTTACGACGTCCAAATTAAGAAGGAAAGAGCGCGCTTTTATAATAAAATAAAAAATAAAAATTATTTAAACTCAGCAGCCTTAACAACTGTTTGCGGTGACCTCCATTAACACCACGGGAAGCGTAAAATTTAATGATTTTCGCATTTTAAGAATTTTAAGAATTTTTCGCAAATTTTTTCATTTTTTTTATAGCTCGCCGACACACTCTTTCTCTTACACATAGTTGACCACATTTACGCTATGAAAAGTGAAATTCAGCTAAAAAGCTTATTATAATTTTATATAGTAAATGTCTTAATGCGCTTAGCCAGCTAATTTTTCATTTTCATAAATTCAATTAAGATTTCATTTTTTTCACGCTACTTTTATAGCAGCTTAGCTGCAGCTTAAATCATGATTTGCAAGGGTGTAGAAAGTGCAAAAAAAAGACGAAGATAAAAGAAAAGTGTTTGGAAAAGTTTGCATTTAATAGAAATGCTGTGTGTTTGTAAGTTAAGTTTTTGTGTATATATGTGTGTGTGTGTTTGTATGTGTGTGCATGGCGTTGTAATTTTACGGTTCATTGCTTTGCATATTTTAATGCGCTGTGGCAGAAATAAAAATTATTTTCTTTTTTTGCCGTCACTTTTCTATTGCTTTATGGCCGACTTTTGCTTTTCTGTTGGTTATGCAACGCTTTATACATACATACATACACGTATGAACTAAAATATATACAAACAAATAATATTTTGCACATAAAGCTGCTTATTGTGGCAATTTTTTTTAATTTTAATTGACTGACGAGCGCAAACTTAAAAATGTTCATGGAAAATTCGTAAAAAAATTGTCTTATTATTGAAATAAATTGGAAATTATATTACATTAAAAGTTCTTAAAAGAGATAAAAAAAAATTAATGCAAATTATCTTTCTTTGCATATTCTAAAATCTTTGAAAGGAAAACCTTGCACGATCACTCCAAAGCGTTCAGATCGCAACATAATGATCACCCTAATCAGCGCAAGTTGCCAAAAAAGTTGCACAATTTGTATGGTGATAAGGCCTTAAAAGAAACAGAGTGTCGAAGTTGGTTTGGCAAATTCCGTTCGGGAGATTTTTCACTCTAAGATAAGCAACGTTCAGGGTTGCCAAGTGTAGTTGAAGATGACGATATCAAGGCTTTAATCGAATCGTATTGTCATGCAACTGAGCGTGAGATTGAAGAGAAGTTAAGTGTACCGAAATAAACCGTTCATAATGGATAACAGACATAAGTGAAAGAAATTCATTTCAACATTTGTGATTTGTATATCAAACGCAATGAATATGACCAATTTTCGAAGCAAATCACAACTGGAATTGAAAAATGGATTGTTTACGATAACGAAGAATATGCTGCCAGTTTGGTGGCTTTGGAAAGGTTTGGGTTCTTTTGAGCTGCTTCCAAGGAAACTAATGATTAATTCGGATTCCTACTGTGAACAACTGGACAAATTGAATACATGCATCAACGAGAAGCGGTCAGATTTGGTCAATCGTAAAGGTCTCAGGTGTCCACCAGGACAAAGCTAGACCGCACACATCTTTAGCCACTCGACAGAAACTGAGAGAGCTTGGCAGGGAACTGTTGATACATCCACCATAAGGCTCTGACTTTTCAACGTTAGATTATCATTTGTTTCGATCTTTGCAGAGCTCACCAAATGGTATAATTTTCGATAATGACGAGGCTATAAAATCGCACTTGGTTAATTTTTTGGCAGATAAAGGCCAAAAGTTCTATGAACGTGCAATAATGATGTTGACGGAAAGATGGCGAACGGTCATTCAGCAAAATGGAAATTACATTGCTAAAAATAGAATGAAATGCGCCAAGGCTCCACTTTGTCTCAAAAAAGTGTTTATAAGTGGTACAAGCGCTTCATGGAAAGTCGAGATGATGTTGTTCTTGATGAGCATCCTGGAATTGGAACCACGTCAACAAGCCGTGAAATAATTGTTTTGGCAAATCGTCGAATTACTATCAGGGAAGTTGCAGAGGATGTTGGCATATCGTTCGGCTCATATCAAGCAATTTTTACGGATGTCTTAGGCATGAAATGTGTGGAGAGAAGTTTGTTCCGAAATTATTAAATTTTGAGCAAAAGCAACGTCGAATTAGTATCGCTCATTAGTGATTGGAAGACACCAACGGCATTAAATGTTTGCGCGAAAGGCTCATAACTGGTGACGAAATATGGATATATCGTTATGACGTCGAAAGCCAGACAGCTCATTTCTAAATGGATAAATAGCAAGATCGTAGAAAGCACGCCAGGCTCGCCAGATTTAGCTCACAGTTTTCTACGATATAATGACGGGTCGTACGTTTAATAAGGAATACTACAGGGAATTTATGCGATCTTGGCGTAAAGCAATACGGCTTACACTATTGGGACTGTGGAAAAATAGATCATGGATCCTGCAACACGATAATTCACCGATTTGGCTTCCTGCCAAGTTTTTCTAATTCCAAAATTAAAGAGATCAATGCAAAAATAG